TCATGCTCTGGGATACATTCCATGTCAAGTTAAATGTGTGAGGCGTTATTACCAGTTACTTATTCGTGAATAAACTACATTGTTAAGAACATCAGGGACACACTCGGCTATCGCCTCGTGTGCCACTTATTTGTTCTTACCCCATTTTGACATCATCTGTGCTCTATTACTGAACAGACGCACGGCAACATGGAATCTATTTGTTAAAGAATATTTCTCACAATCTCGATTACTTAATTACTGCGACTCCAATTTTTTCACACATCAAAAAATCTGATTTATTGATCTACTCTCAGCTAATCAGCATGCTGAAATTTGTGTTTTTATATCATTACTAAAGAAACTGCAGGCTCTGTTGGCGAGTTAGTGAAAAACTTAGCTTTTTGTAAACTTGAAAGTCATAAAGGTAAGTTTTAAACCGCCGTAGCGAGTGTGTGAAGCTGACGTTATGAGTGTTAGCCTTTCTTCAGAACAAAGTAGCATCTTCCTAGGATGTTTTTCAATGGAATTGTCAGAAGTATTTCAATGCTGCCTCATATGTATAAATATGTCTGGATCTATGAAAACCGTATGTGTCAAAAAATAATCGCCCCCTACTCAAGCATTTTTTTTTTTTCGTCTCCAAAGGAGACGATAAAGAATTCAAAGGAATGTAACCGACTCTCTTATCTTCCTTTTCGTGCTCTTCTCTTGTCTTATTTAGATCGCTTAAGTATACTTTTGAGGCCTTTAGGAGTCGTAAAATTAAAGTGTGTAGGCTATTTGGTGCGAAAGAAAGCATTTTCATTGGCACGGTTTTCATAGCTCCAGTCGTGTATGTATATATCCGGTCCCCTTTTCCTTCTTCTGTTCAAAGTTTTACTCGCGCAATCAACGTTTTTACAGGAATCCCGTGGCAGTTCTGATAACTTGGCATTTACCCCATCTCAAGATGTCTAGCCAGTCATTGTGGTCAAAGAGAGGGATGATTGGGAGATTTTCACCGAGGTTAGTTTGAGAATAGCTGCCGAGATTTTAATTTACCACAATATATTTAACATATAAAGGAGCCTAAACCGTATATTACACTGTGGTAAAACACGACGGGCATTTGAGAACACGAGGGAAGTGTAGAAACACGAGCCGCTGGCGAGTGTTTTCTACATTTCCCGAGTGTTCTCAAGTGTCCAGAGTGTTTTATCACAGTGTAATATACGGCTTAGGCTTCTTCATTTGCTTTATGATGTGGAGGTAATGTGGCGAAAAACAATAAAATACGCTTTTTGTATGTTTTATACTCTGATAAAACATGGGTTTTTGACCCATCAGAGCGCGCGCAGGGTCCTCTCTACATTATAAATGAAGATAAAAATCTCCGCCCGATTGAAGATAGTCTCAAGTTTTCGTAGAGCTTTTGGTAAAAGAAACCCTTTTATAAATGCACGCTTCAATAGTTTCTGAAAATTGCTATTTCTCTTTTGTTTTTGTGGTCTAAAACGTTTTTCTTGCCCACAGTCTAAAATCACTGCTGAACAGGATGCCAAACAGAAAGAAATTAACTAAGGTTGGTATTTGTTCCTTTCACCCCACCAACAGTTTTCGTGGTTTTCAATAGTTTTCGTATTCTCGGTATTAGAATTGGCTTGCATTAGGGGCTCATGTCATGCGGGGAAACATAATTAAAGAGAGGTCAAAGTCGTATGTATTTGAAAAGACTCCCCGCATTTGCCGCACTTGCAAGCTAGTTCCAGTGCACTACTGAAAATTCGAAAATGGTCTATTGAGTGTCGCAAAACCAAAAGCCCTCAGTTTTGCCTCAAAGGACTCAGGCAATCCAGTAAACGAGGCAAAACTCGAAGCAAACTTATTTGTACGTTTAGGTGGCCCGAAGCGCGGGGAAAAGTGCGCGAGAAATTTACTATTCGTTTTGGTTTATTAATTTCTCATTTGTTGAGAAAGTGGCATGAGTTTGTTCGACCAATCACTACAGGTAGAAAAGCTAAACCAGCGCAAACTCAAATTACTTTCGACACTTAAGCGAATTGTGAGGATAGTGTTTCTGTTAAACAATTAGATTATGACTCGAGATTTCTATCACGTGATAGTTGACGAGGGCGCAGCCCGAGTCAACTTTCGTGCGATAGAAAGCGAGAGCGAATAATCTAATTGTTTTAGTATAAATCTACTAGTCGTTCAAAACTTAATCTAAATCCTCT